CAGCCTATATAAAAGATGTTGTAGCTAGAACGATAATAGAGAGTTCAGTCGCACACAATAACTAAACCATAACGTTTTAATTCACATTCACTAATGAAACATTGTGAAACATAGGAGACATACATACTTTAAAAAATGTATACATCAGTTTTTGTACGATAAAGAAATATCTCCCTTCATAATATCATAGAAAGAATAAAATTAATCAAAGGCCGAAGCATATTTTACTTGCATATCACTGGCATTTTGAAGAAGAAGTAAACGTTTGCAACAGCGATCTCACCTCCTGATCAGAAGACAACTTCTGCCTCAGAAGACACGACACTTTGTTCTCGTGGGCATTCTCAAGCTTCATAATTTGCTGTTCGTGGGCAGCTTTGATTTCTTCAAGCATGGCTTCCGTTTCCTCCGATGCGACCACCAACTCCTTGTACTGCGCCTGGTGAAACAAATGGCACAAGTGGATGTAAACATTTTCGAGTTGCAGGAAATGGAAAAAGAACATTTCTTTATATCATTGTTCACTGATCCACTTCATTCATGTCCGCTTTCCGAGCAAGACAGACGGCATTACTTTTACTTACATGAATTTTAATCGAGCGAAATGAGGAAACAAGAAGCAGCCGTAGCAAAAACGATAACACCAAATCAGCCCACAACCGATAAATAAACTTAGATACTCACTTATACGTACCAATTGTTAAGTATTGCATAGCTAAATACCTTGAACAAAAACTGGCCCTATAGTGCTGAAATATAATCCTTGATTTGACTGAGTAACTGAACCAGTATTCTGTCGAGTCATATTATTTCAAGTGATCCGAGGTACACGAACCAAGGACTTTAGAGCGTATATATAACTCTCATGCAGTGTTTTTAGCGCATTTTCTCATTTATGGAAAAAATGCGCTATTGTGCTCGCCATGTCCGTCCGTCCGTCTGTCTGTCCTTCCGGGACTTCACGTTTTCGTCGCCGTGAAACTGCGCTCTGTCACTCACTGCAGTAAGTACCGAGTTATATATATTTTAATACCTGTAGCTCTTGGAGCTCTTGCTGGGAAGAGGCGCATTGAGCCTTGTGCTGCACCGCTGTGTTGAAGAGCATCGTCAGCGCCGCCTTCGTCTCGCTCATGCCTTGCAGGCCTTCAAACCGCTTCCGTTCTGTTCAAACGTATATTCAATAACAATTCTCCAGTTCCATGAAGTTTCGGGATCATTTCTTGAACTATTAAAGAGATAAAACCAAATATAAAACGGATGAAGAAAACCACACTTTCCAGCACATATAGCACTTATATAGTTTATAGTACAATCTTGTAATTTCCGTTCGAAAACAATGTCTAAATCAAACCCGAAACTAATGCCTCACGGCCTTCATATTTGTCAGTGTCCAAATAAATTGAATTGTTTAATGAAGGTACAAAAGATTAAAAAATAACAAGTGGTACATAAACATGGAGAAGTACAACTGTTTATCTTCTCATGCATTTATAATGATAGAAGTGAGCAGGATACTCGAGCTGCACGAGGTAACGAAGCAAAGGACTTCGCAGCGGGAGTATAATTGAATAAATCGTACAAAAACTTGGGCAGGGTTACTACCTCTGCTCTCAAAACATTTTTCCTGTTACAGAAGTATGATTTTCTAACATTGTACTTGTACCACATTCAATTGATATTTGTAGCAAATTCTTCGCACACTGCTGAACACAAGTGTCCCATTCATTCACCAATCTAATGGGTTCAACCTTAGTCTATACTAACCCCCAAGCGTAAGGCTTAGTCTGCACAGACCTACAAGCGTAAGGCTAAATTTATAATACAGACCCACGCTTGCGTAAGAAAGGTTCACACTGGCACCCACCAAGCAAGGACTCTCCATCGCCCTCGAGAACCTTCTGCTGTAGTTCGTTGATCTGAGCGGTGCGCAGCTGCAAGTCTCTGCTGAGATCCTTCTGCTTGTTCAAGAGCTCAGTCCTGAACTCTTCACTGAGGTCGTTATGTTGCAACTGCTGCTCTACTTTCGTCAGCTTGTCTGTAACGTGAATACATAAGTGTAAATGAAAGCCCATCATTAAGAAACTGCTGGAAAAAATGCATAATAATGTAGTGGTATGTTTCCACTAACTTTATAAGTAGAGGATAAATTAAAAATAAAATCGTTAGTCAAACGTCTGACTATCATTAATGTGAATGTGGCTACGAAAACAAATAATTAAAAGTATAGATTTCAAAAGGAAACAGACTGATGGAAGAAAAAAAGTCAATAGCGCAGAAATTTCCTTACATAGCACGTATTATCTGAACCTAAGCATTTACCGATGAACTCGTTCAAGGGGAGCTTGAGCCATCGAGATCTTCTACTGAGGTATCGCGTATACTTACCTACTTTCTGGCGGGAACCTAAAAAGAAGCTTTCAAATACCTTGGCTTTGCTCTGGCGTACATGATCTTCCTATTTGATCGCTAGGAACACACAAAATTTGAAGAAACATTAACTGCCTAAATATTTTAAACATGAAATAATAATGGCAACCCCGAAACCAGTACACAGCTAGGAAGGAATGGGAGTAATTCCACATAAGTAGTTCAAAAATAAAGACAAAAATGACCTACTTCTTAGCTGTTATTGGGATAATTTCACAAAATTAATTCAATGATGAGAACAAGACATTGATACCTCTTTGTTTTTAAGTTGTTGAGCGCGTTTGAATTTATCATTATCTTCCTTCATTTGGCAGATGAGCTTGACGCGGGCTTGTTTCATCGCCTGTCACAAAAGAAAGATATATTAATTAACATATATCAGAAAAGATATATTAATTGACGTAAATGATTTATAATGGGCGTGATGGTTTATAATTTTATTTACAAATTTTAAAGTTAGATACGTACGTTCTGGGAATACTTTTGAGAGGATACATGTTTGAATGTGACGGAAAAAATCAAATGGGTACAATAAAAAGAAGGATAATTATTTCAGTTACGAGAAGTTCAACGTATAAACTTAAAATACATGAGAGCTTACGGCACAGCTTCAAGAAAATAACAGTGATTACTGAGAGATGAGCAACACAGCACCTGGATTTCATTGGAGAGAGGCTCGACCCTCTTCTCGGACATTTCCTTCATCTCGAGGGCCTTGTTCCTCTCAATGACTTTTTGCTTGAGGTCGTTAATCTCCTGCGTGAGCTCCTGGACTCGCTCACGACGCTGCTCCGCAAGTCTGCACAAATTGACATGCAGCAGGTCATGTGATGAATTAAATAGGAATGCTGATGGAAACTTAAAGGTTTGATTAATCAAGTCTGGTGAAATTAGATGGAATATAAATCAGTGAAGCATACAAAAGGAGAGGTAGCAAGAGCGATGTATAAAATTAGCCTGGAAACCCATCACCTCCAGCTAAAAGGGTTAAAGATTACCTCTACTAACCATGAATAGCAATTAATAGCTATAGTCCCCCCTTGCTTGAAGCTACAGTATTGTTTTTGATGCTCTTTCTCAGTCCCCTGCAACTCACAATTGGAACAAGATTTTTAAAACTTTTCGAATCATATGATGAAATTCTCTTTATTCTAAGATTATCAGAAAACGTGTCGAGCGAGTATGTCTTGCTTCTCGGTCCAAGAATCAAGAATTTAAATTTATCATCTATCAGTGAACTCGAGGTGATACAAAGTGGGTATGTTTAGATATGCCATGAACTTCTGGCACTGCTAATGCTTCAGCTATCATCTAATGGAAGCGTAATCGTGGCGCGATACAATATGGATCAGTTAAGGGATAAGCCGGCCACTCGCTGGCAGCGTTAGTGCTTCAGCAATCATCTAATGGAAGAGTAATCGCGATCTGTTAGAATCGAGGTCAATTAAGTGATATATTATGCATTTGCTGGCAGGGTTACTGTTCAATCGATAACCAAATAAAGAGTTATTGCGACCTGATACAATGCAGATCAGTTAAAGGATGTCACGTACTGTACTTGCTGGCAGGGTTACTGTTCAATCGATAACCAAATAAAGAGTTATTGCGACCTGATACAATGCAGATCAGTTAAAGGATGTCACGTACTTGCTGGGGGCAGACACGATCTGCTGCTGCAGGCTCTCCTTCTCATGCTCGACGGTGGATATGCGCTCTTGCAGTTCCTGAATGGCGCGCTCGTATGACGACCGAATGTTGGCGATGTCCTTATCGTTGCTTAACATCTTCCTCATTAATTCTTCTTTTTGGGCCAGCGCATGATTGAGACTCTGAAATGGAATAAACTTTAGAAACTAAAAACATTGGAATAGACTTTAGAAACTAGCAAAAATTGAAATAAGAATATATCAGCTATTTAGCATGATGCAATTTCTCACAAGCAGGTTACGATGAATTACATCACGTCACAATCAAATCTAATCTAACAAATCACCCCATAAAAAGTATTCGAGATGTCTTCGCATTAACATTTCTTATGAAACTGCACTGGAGAGTGGAGAATATCTAAATTGTATTAAAAAAACAGGGTATTACCTATTACAATCCAATAAATCGAAGGAAGCCACAGAATGTTTAATAATGTTTCATTTGAGAAGTTCCGATTGAGAAGTAATTAGAACATAGATTTGTTACAATCTAATAAATCAGAGGGAGCTGCCCAGAATTTAATAAAAACTGGCAAGTTATATCAGAAGAAGCAGCACAGCGTTTATTTAGGTTTCATCTGTAAAGGTTTCAAAGGTTAAGGTAAAGGTAAGGTAAAGGTTTCATCTTTTTCATCAGAAAAAGAAGTAAATACTGACGGCGAGCTCCTGTCCCTTCTGTGAGCGCATGAGGGCGCTGGCCACAGAGCAGTCAGCGGCCGGAGAGGCGGACTCGTCTTGGCCTGGAGGAGAACAATAACTGATATTCACGGTGGATTTCCAAGTCTTGAATAAGTGAACAGGTACAGGTGGCTATTATAATGAAATTATTTATTTTTATGTGTTGTGTGGTCTCCCGTTAAACACATATATGGATAGATAGATTACACTTTTTAATAGGCTTGGTGCATTTTAACAGCCATGCAGTGGTGACCAGCTGGTAAATAATGATTTGAAATCAAACTGTTGAATTTCTTTCCATTTGCCAATTGTACTATCTCATTACTGCTAATTAGGACTGATAAGGCTTATGACAAATGTTTGGTCCAGATTTCATAACTTAGCAATTATTGCACAAGATTTATACTGATTAATGTGGACAGCAGGCACCAAACTGTAGACTTCTCACCTATAATTTAAATCAACCTCATACCAATTCATATCTCCGTTATAGTCTCATTTATTCTAGTTCAAACCTAACTTTATAGTACTGGATATACGTGTCCAGTTTCTAGTTTCATAGTGACAAACATTCAACGTACACGTATCTAATTTATAGATTCTCTACACTTGGGTTGCCAGCAGTTCTCACTTTTATCTTGAAGAGATGAACTACCGTCGCTATCTAATGGCTCTGATGTACAATGTTCATACATGTTTAATTTATAAATAGATTTTCTCCTCTCAGTTAGACAGCAGTTCTCACTTTTATCTCGAGGAGATGAACTGCCGTCGCCATTTGATGGCTGCTGATGCTCGTCTTCTTCAGCAGAAATGTCGGCAGCCTGATGGTGCGTGAGCTCGTGACTCACAAGCTGCTCTTCGTTCTCACGATGCATCGTCTGCAACACACATACGTCATTAACTCAATAAATTGAAAATTATTATTTATAAATCAGGTTGCGGTGGTCTTTATGAAGTTAAATGTTACTCGCACTAATCTGCAGCATTAATACTAGTACTGTTGATGGACAAGTCAGTCCAAATTGTGTTCTGGAGGAGTAGGAACAGCAAAAATCTTTAGAAATAAGGTATGATTATAAAATAGTAGCTCTAAATTAATAGATTTCTTCCAAACTCGCTCCCAAAACTTATACTAAAGTAGTATATAAGTTGACAAAAAATGAAATGACAAAAAACAAGTAGCAGGAAAAAAAATACAAAGACAATGAGTGACGTGAACGTACCTGCAAATCCGCCACCTGTTGCTGCACTTGTTTGATGAGCTCCAGTTTACTGGCAAGCACAGGAGCGACGGCCGAGTCACTGCTCTTAATGGTATCGTTGAGATCTTGTACAGTCGAGTCCATTCGAGCTTGCAGTTCATTAAGCTTCTCGTCCATTTTCTCTCGAGCTGTTGCGACCTTTGCAAATAATTAACAACTTAAAAATCAATAAATTAACTGACAGGTGCTTGAAGCCAGTAGGTATGAGTAGTGGTTTCATACTATACCACCAATAATTCAGCAACTGAAATTAAATGAAAAAGGTAGAGTTGATGAAAAAAAAATAAGTCCAATTTCTCGCTCATAAGTATCCTTTATTTCATGGACCGTCTTCATGTTTTCCTCACTTAGAGCTAAAACTTGGGATTGGTGTTGTTTCGCCTTAGAATCAAACTTTTCATTTAATTTCTCAATTTGATTATTGAGATGCGTTATCTGATCTTCTAGCGAGCACACCTCTTCACTTCGTTCCTTTTTTTCTAGTCTCAAGATCTTGACACGCCTTTTTTTTAGTCTTGAGGTCAGCTCGAACTTCCTCTAAAAGCCTAGAGCTTTCTTCAAGTTGGCAATTGCGCTGCTTAACTTCTAACTCATATTTTGTATTGTTGTCCTCCAAATTTTGAACTTGCTGTTTTAGTTGTGACGTAATTTCTTCGTGATTTCTATTTTGCAGAGATAATTCGATCTTGAGCATTTCCTGGGCAAGAGTGATATCCTGAATTCGACATTCCAAAACCTTGCTGTGAGCCCTTGTCTTCTCGCAGTCAGCGCTAATGGAGGAGAGCGATGCCTTGTGCTGCTCTTCAGCAGCCTTTTTCTCCAACTGAAGATTAGTTACATCGCTCAGCAGCTCACTCACGCGGACTCTGTAAGCCTCCTCCTGACCCTGGTGCTCTTCAAACAGCTTGGAATGTTGCGCTTGCAGGTGCTTCGTTTTTTCCGCAACTCGACTTTCCCAACTGCTCTCAAGATTCTTGAGCTCTTCCTGGTGCTGGGTGGTAATTTTCAGAATTTCTGCCTCATGATTCTCGTCTTTGTTCCTGAAAGCTTCCATGTGAGTCGCTTCGTCAATGTTGAGTGCCTCTTGCAGTTCTGCGTGCTTTTTTCTCTCCAGATCCCGTAACTGTGAGCTCAATGTCTCCACCTTTTGGGTCACCACCGAGAGCTGCGTCGTCAGGTCTTCAGTACGATACTGTAGCTCCTGTTTTTCGTCGTCCCACTGACTCTTGCATTCACCAAGCTCCCTAAGCAGATCTTCTTTACTTTTAATCTCTTCCACGTGCTGTAAATAAAAATAAAATTTTAACGTTGTAACGATAGCAGCTATGACACTAAAGCAGACCATGGCCAAGCATCAACAAGATCTCGGTGATCAAAATCTCGTCGCGGAAATGTCTCCATTGAATTAAATTTCTAGTAAATTAACTTTTCCACGATGCTGTCGGGTGCATTAGAGGTCATGAACTGGACTGACAATCGCAAAACCGAGAACGAGCTTGTGGCCCTCGAACCAAACCAAAGATAAATCAGTCGGTGGTCTGGATAAGAAAAAAATTTAATGCAGCGGATCCAATAACTCGAATCATCACTTAGCGAATCTACTGACAACCCGTTCTATAGAACGAAATCTTACGATAAGTATTGTCAATGTTTATATTTTCCTAAGTTGTTCCATCTTGGAATAACCTACAAGTTTGACGTAATGAATATCATCTATCAACTAGCGATATCAGAATGATTTCCATGATAGCCTGCTCAAGGCAGGCTCTGCGAGCTTGTTAACAAATACCCACTTCAAAAGAAGGCTACCAAATACCCACTATAAAAGAAGGCTACCAAATACCCACTACAAAAGAAGGCTACCAAATACCCACTTCAAAAGAAGGCTACCAAATACCCACTATAAAAGAAGGCTACCAAATCCCACTATAAAAGAAGGCTACCAAATACCCACTATAAAAGAAGGCTACCAAATACTCATTTCAAATGAAGGCCAAATGAGTTATTGACGAGCGGCGATTTGAGTGCATAATCTGCTTAGTGGCGACTTATTTGCCATTAACAGGGCATTAATGAACGTAGAGTATGTCGTCTTTAATTTTATATTGAGGCACATGGTTTCTGAGCATGATATTAATTTGGACATTTTTTGTGTTTGTCTTAAACTAGAGAACCAGGAATGTTATCTGCTGTGAAATGAGCCAGTAAACAAAGAAGAGTGGGAAAGGAAAATAACCTGTTCTGTTTTTTCCACTGTTGCAGTGTCACGCAGAACAGGGCGTGAGATCTACTGCTCTGGGCGTTCATAGCTGTGGAGCCTGTAGCTCTGTGGTGGGATCCCTGCTCAACATAAACACAAAATTAGCAATGAGCTACAGAGCTGATCTCATCTGTCAGCAATGCCGGCTCATCCACATAAAATATCAATAATAATCAACCCAGAACTTCAGAGCTGATTTTTCTCAAGCAATGGTAGTGTAATGCAACGCATTCAGTATTAAACAAAATTTTGAATTGTTTAGTCACATTGGCTTGCTTTGCAGAAGCTCATGGAAGTAACCTAACAAAGTGTATAACAATAGTTATACAATTTTATACAATATACAAAACACACCCTTTCAACTTCTCTTAATATACATTTTCATTCCATGTCACAGAAATTACTAGATGTAAATTTAACCTCTTGTGTTCTGCACTCCCTGCAAATAATTCATAAAATATCACTAGGGCTCTTTCAATGTAGGTGATAAAGTAATTTACATTCCACTAAAGCCTTGGTACTAACACCATGTTTGCATTATAAAGTGAAAATTCCACTCGCACCTTGATCAGAAAATGGCTCACAACAAACATGCAACAAATACAAGAACTTCAAAATATTTATGGACAACATTTTGCATAAGTTATATTATTTTCAGCAATATGAAATATTTATATTCCAACTTTAATGCCAACACAGACGCACTGTCCATTGCCTCAGAAAGTGTTTAAGCAAAATTAATCATTTTATGTTCATCAGTTTTTCCTCAGAAAGGTCAAGATGGATATTATCAAAGAAATTAGATAAAAATTGGTACTGACTTGCTCAAGACATCGCATGGTCTCCTGCAATGATGCCACGGGCACCTCAGTCACTCCCTGCATCCTGATCTCACCACCCACACCTTCACGGATGTCCAGGATGTTGTCATCTCGGGGCCCTGGAGCCAGCAGGTCATACAGGTTTTCTGCATACAGCTGCACACACATAACAATTGTGAATATAAAAAAAATAATTTTTCCATGGTAATGAGCTTAATATACATCAGTGGTTCCCAAACTTTTGCAGGCTGGAGTACATTTGACTCCCCAGTGAATTCCTAGCGCCCCTCCCCCTACATATACATAATATTCACATAGCGCCCCCCACAGACACAAAAAAACACAGATTTCGAATATTTTCAACAGTTTACACTAGAAACCCAGGAGAGGTTCAAAAAATCTAGATCTGGGTTAAAAAGTCCATCGCTGGGAGCGTGTGCTACATGTTTTGTGTACAAATTATCAAACAAACGTTTGAACTTCTGACTTCGGCTTTGGATTGCCACCCCCCTACCACCTCCTTCTTCCTCGCTGTCCCCCCCCCCATATCTTTCCTCCACCCCCAGAGGGCGGTACTGCCCACTTTGGGAACCACTGATTTACATCAAGTACACTGCTCCTGTACCATCATGCTGCTGACTTGTACTCATGTTCTACATATGTACTATGAGTTCTAAAACTTGTAATGAGCGAGCGACAAAAACTTTGGCGACAGAAACTTTGGATGTACAGAAAGTAAGGCAAATAATCAAATCCCACCACTACATTCCTTGAATTACAAACTTCATCATGCGCTGCTTTACCAGCAAGATCCCTGACTTACCCAATTTCAATTCAGTTATACACACCCACAATCCCTTACTTCAATATCAATAGGGATTAACTGAGCATGATTAGTCATTAGCCAGAGTAGTAATCAGTATTATTGCACAGGGCTTTGCTGTAAAACTTTCATTCCTGAGGGTTATCAATTGCTAGATTGCGTTCAAGATTGTGTTCTCAATTGCTAGATTGTGTTCAAGATTGTGTACTCAATTGCTAGATTGTGTTCAAGAAAATTTAAAAGAAAATAATTTGTTAACATTAATCAGTAAATTAATTAATAATTTAACCAACAAAAAATGATAAAATTTAATCACAATGATCAGAAATGCAGCACAATTTAAATTTTCTTGAACCTATCAGAAAATTTTAAGAAATCTCACTAATGTGTTCAGATTTTTATCCCATGTGTTATTTTAAAGAGAACTAAGTTGCCATCTGAGGAAATAGTCTGCTGGCAGAAGGGAAGATAGCTAAAAAAATGTATAGTTATAAATAAATACAACTTATTAAAATGAATCACAAACAAAATGACACAAAACATCATCTAATGCTTTTGGTGTTATTAAAAAAAAAATCCATATTAGAAAAAAATGAACAAAGAATGAAAGAATGAAATAATTACACATGGGCACAATCAATCAAGTCATTGACTTGCCTCAACAAATGAGCATTTCACCAGGTACTGGTATTCATCCTCCCGCTCCCTGACTGTGCAAAACATGTCGCGGATGGCTCTTGGGATGATACCCATTGTTTCATTGGGGCAGTTTTCCGGTGAGTTTGTACCCATGCTGTAAGTCTTTCCTGATCCAGTTTGGCCATAAGCCAAAATGGTGACATTGAATCCTGGAGATTGTTAATTATCAAATTAGATTAAAGTACTGGTAAGCCAAAATTGTGACATATTCAAGAGAAATATATAAAATTTGAACATAAGATAATATTAGTAAGACAAAATGGCAATATTTAATCCTGGAGGCATGGAATTAGGAAATTAGATAACAATTTTGAAATGGTGATATTCAGTCCTTGAAAAATTAAATTAGAAACATTTAGGCTGGCAACCTGAGTGAAGTTAAATTCTAGAGACAAATGGAAAAAAATAGTACCAATAATAAATAGAAAAACCCTCAAGGTTTGAGAAGAGTAATTAAAACTCTACATTTCAATGTTCAAGAGAGTTAATTGGAAAAAATTGATTTAATGTAAGTTAAATGGAAGAGGAAGCTTATGCTGTATCTAAATGCCTACAATAACATATATATACTATCCCCAATGATTACAAGCAACATATACATGGATCGAAAGCTAGCTTACCATTGTGGATCTCTTTGATTGTTTTGGAGACTGCCGTTGTGTATAGCTCCTCTTGGCTGGCTTCAGGGGGAAACACATAATCGAAGGTGAACTGCCGGTTCTGGCCACCCGATTGCACAATGATCTGAAATGAAACACAATTATACAATGAGGT